TTATTTGATATCGGATTTTGTAAACGGATTAATAGAAATTAAATCAAGGTGAAGACCAGATCAAATTAAAACCCAGCAGTTGCCTTTATTTATCTGTTGTGCTCATTATGCAGTGGAAACATACAGGAGACAGTCAATGGCCATCCTTTGATTTGGTAATCATGAATCAGGTAATGGGGTGTGAAAATACACACCAAAATACACCAAAGCACAATTTAAACAGATCAAATGATTTTTTTATTCATGATCAAGTACAGACCCTTTGAACCCAAACATTTAGCTTCTCGTGGTTTGACAGTGATTCCAGTGGCTTTTAACAAATTCCCAGCAGACTGATGTGTTGCTTTTAGAGAAGGTCTGACTTTTCCAGCAATGCACTGATGTCATGTTCTTCACTGAGATGCTGTGATCTTTGCACCCTGGATCTCACTGCTTTAACTTCTCAAGTTTCAAAGAGTCCTGACGTGATTCCTAAAATGTTTTACGTTGAAATCATTGTTACCAAACCTCAAACATCCAAAAGGAAAATATTTCACAATAAAAGGAGGAGGTCATTATATTTCTATCCATATTTCTGTAAACCCTCTGTCCGTAGTTTCAGTAATAACATGTTTCAGGTTTTATTGATTGGATCTCTTCTGCTTCACCAGCAGAAGAGATTGACTGAAGAAAGTTTTCCACTTTTCCATGGAGCTTTGAAAGCAGCATTGAAATTCAAGCTGATGTACTTTGAGTTGCACTTCACCAAAACATATCATGGAGGTTTTATTAAGATCACAGAAATTTCTCATGAGGTCCACAGCACTCATGAATACATAACTAAAGAGCTCTGATGGAAAAGATGTGGATCAGAGATCAGTGATTATTGCCAGAGTAGAATAGAATAGAACAGAATAGAATAGAATAGAACAGAATAGAATAGAATAGAATAGAATAGAATAGAATAGAATAGAATAGAATAGAATAGAATAGAATAGAATAGAATAGAATAGAATAGAATAGAATATCTTTCATTGTCTCTCACTAGGAAAATTCAAATAAATCAGTGAGAAGAAAACCCCAATATATATATATATATATTTTTAAGAAAAGTTAAAACATGAAATATTTGGGATTGGACTAACATTTCAGTATAGAGAGTTTGGTTTCTACCATCCAGCTTGTTCTATTCCATGACGTGGCTTTTCTTACCTGGTTAATGAAACGCTTTAAAAAAGCAACAGTTCAGTTGCAACTCTGGTCTCCTCAATTCACTATTTCAATGCTAATGAGCCCGAAACAGATATGAAAATCTTGCTTCTTGGCTTGAAGCTAAAGATTCGGTTTCTGAAGTGGGGAGTATGTCTTTGTTGTGAGACGGGGCAAGAAATCACAAGCTGTGTTAACTCAAACCGAAAGTTTGTTTCCTGAAATGTGTTTCCTTGACGAGAACAGCAAAAGAGCAACAGTTAATTGATGCCGACATTTTCTTTTTTTCTTCAAACATGACTCAAATGAATCCTATTCATTGTGTGTTGAGCTGCATTCATCTTCCTGTCTTAAAGATGCTTTTCAAAAATTAAACATGGCCCACTTTAACCCCACCAGACAACAACTTTGACTGTTACAATTTAGGACTGCTAATAATTAATGCTTTTGTACTCTGTTTTCTTTCTGGCACGACTACATAGACAGAAATATTTTATTTTTCATAACATGCAAACAGCTCCTTGTGCATTAAAATGGGCAAGAAGAACTCACAGAAAATCAGCCACTTATTCTTTCTGGTTCACTTTCATACATCTCTATGACTTTAGCTAAAGAAGAGTAGAGCTCTCTTTAATGTATTGTTGTTGTTTTTCTTCTAGCACTTCTGTCCCCTGGTTTTCCATATTTGCTGTGTGCATAACCCCACACTCTCACTGGGAGTGTTGTCGTCTCTGTGGGCAGGCAGAGTTAGTCACTAAAGTCTGGGCTGCACTTAGATATTGGCGTGGAGATATGATGAAATTGGCTAAAGAGTTGATATCAATTATAGGTCAGGAAATGACTAAATATAGCTCATGCCCCCGTAGGTCCGGTGGAGGATCAATGATGCTGTGGGCTGGTTTCTATCCTAAAGACCATGGCGTCCTTGTTGGACTGCATGATGCAATAGCACAAAAGCTGTTCTAGCTTTTGTGATATTCAAAAGCTAGAATAGCACAAATAAACTTACGAAAACTGAAAATGGCTCCTTATTTTGTTTTTCGTAAGGTTAATGATCAATCAATCCAGTTTATTTGTATAGCTCATTTAAGCAACAAGGGCGTTCAAGGTCCTTTAGAATAGCTTTCATTGTCTCTCACAATTGAAGCATTGCATTTTGTCAAGTGCCATCGTTACACATCAGAACCTTAATGTGCAATTTATGGTGTTTCTAAAGCAACTCTAAACAGGTGGCTTTTTAGTCTAGATTAAAGGAACCCAGTGAACAAATCGACACAGAAATTGCTCTCCAGCTCAATGTTATCCTCACTCCTTGTGTATCTCAGCTCCTGGAACAAAATGCTATAGGAACGTGTACACTGTATGCTTCTAAGTCTGCATTCAGACCTTATTAGTTACCCTTGATTTAAAACGACTCACTTTCACGTTTTCATTTTTACTCACATGTACACAGAAGACCCATTTCTCACCAAGCCACCTATGTATTGAACATTATGACTTAGACCTGAGATGAACCGGGTCTCTGTTTGACAGTTATAGGAGTGTCACCTGTGGGGAATTTGAACAAGACCCTTTTTTTTTCCACTAAATGACTAGAGGAATCCTCAGAGCAAATCTAAGGTGGCAAGTTGTCCTGAATCAAACTGCCCCGCGCTGTTTGTTGTGGTAGCTGAGTCATAGTGATCCTCTTCTCAGAAGGAAGGTGCCTCCCCTTCCTGTTCTCGCCGCCCTGGGCAACTCACCAGTTGATCCTGAGCAACGACAGCGGCGCCATTAGAAACGCCACGCTGCAGACTTTACCTTCATACAGCGCGGCTTTCTTTCTTTCTGTCTGTCTTCCTTTTTAGTCTGACCCAGTGAACGTCTGTCGTACACATCGCATTCCTGCTCGTGTGTCGGAAGAGGAAGCATGAATCAATGACATAGAATTGAAAAGGGAAAACACTGAAAGTACACAACGAGGCGGGGAATAAGCCCAGATGGCGCCGGGGACCCCCCCTCTTCATGTTCTGGAAATTCACAGCATTTCAAGCACAAAAGCATTTTTTTTGACTGTCTCGTCTTTCAGATTACAAATTTAGGACGAATGTCTTTTTTTTCAAAGTTTTTCCATTCAAAAGGGATCCGGGATGGTGATGTTTGTACTGGAGCTCAAAACGAGTCTGTTGTGCGTGTCGGTGGGAGTTTGGGGCCTAAAGCAGCTCGATCACAAGAAGCCGGTCTCAATCAGCCGATTTTCTTCAATGGGAGAGTTTAAGAGAGCTCCACAACCTCACGCACTTTCAGTCGTCTGTGAGCGACAACATAGGAAGTCAGAATCGAAAGCCCCTCCGACTGCGTATTCACAAGAAACAGAGAAAAAAGGTGAATCTCTCTGCGCGTCTGCAGAGATCCGTTTCCACGTGGGCCTGACTGCACTCTGTTTTCCTGTCATACGTGGGATATGCATGAGGCCTTGATAGACACACAGCTGATACGATCACATATCATTTCCAGCTCTCGATGACGTCATCCCCCCGTCGTCTCTCGCTCCACTCAGTGAAACGTGTGGCGGCCGCTGGGAAAGAAAAAAAAATGTCGCACAAATCCAGCGGACTTACAATAGTCAGAAGACACGTGTTTGGTTTGCTTTGTTGTGTTTTGGTAGACCAACGGCGGCCTTTGTTTCTCACTGTGCGATGGACTCCACTCCTGCTCTTTGCACAGAAACACGGTGACATTTGTTTCCCCCGATCAAAAGTCCCAGCCAGCACACCTAGGTGGGCCCCATATGGGATATAAGTGGGCAGGCAATATGGGTCCCAAAAGGGTTTGTCCACGGTTTCCATGGTGGCCCCACATGGGTTTGCCCAAGTAGATTTCAATGGGTGCTAACTGGGTTTTCAGTGGGTCCCACATGGTTAACTTACATGAGGCCCATCTGTGGCCCACTAGGGTGCTGTCAAGAATATTTACGTGGGTCCCAATTGGGTCTGAACTGGGCTAGAATATGGGTACCAAGTGGGTTTGTCCACGGTTTCCATGGTGGCCCCACATGGGTTTGCCCAAGTAGATTTCAATGGGTGCTAACTGGGTTTTCAGTGGGTCCCACATGGTTAACTTACATGAGGCCCATCTGTGGCCCACTAGGGTGCTGTCAAGAATATTTACGTGGGTCCAATTGGGTCTGAACTGGGCTAGAATATGGGTACCAAGTGGGTTTGTCCACGGTTTCCATGGTGGCCCCACATGGGTTTGCCCAAGTAAATTTTTATGGGTGCTAACTGGGTTTTCAGTGGGGCCCATGTGGTTAACTCACATGAGGCCCATCTGTGGCCCACTAGGGTGCTGTCAGGAATATTTACCTGGGTCCCAATTGGGTCTGAACTGGGCTAGAATATGGGTACCAAGTGGGTTTGTCCACGGTTTCCATGGTGGCCCCACATGGGTTTGCCCAGGTTGATTTCAATGGGTGCTAACTGGGTTTTCAGTGGGTCCCACATGGTTAACTCACATGAGGCCCATCTGTGGCCCACTAGGGTGCTGTCAAGAATATTTACGTGGGTCCCTATTGGGTCTGAACTGGGCTAGAATATGGGTAACAAGTGGGTTTGTCCACGGTTTCCATGGTGGCCCCACATGGGTTTGCCCAGGTTGATTTCAATGGGTGCTGACTGGGCTTTCAGCGGGACCCAGATGCCTTAATCCTGTAGGAACAATTCTCATCTAACCTGGATGTGAATTACATTCATAGATATGCAATCTTGATCAACAATCCAAAGTCCAGCTTAAAACGTGTTCAAATAAAAAATAAAAAAAAAAGAGATGAAAAATTTATTTTGCTCAAGGCTTTTATTTAGTAATTTAAAATATTGTCAGGAGTTATTTTTTACCTCACTACAGCAATTATTAGAACTTCATTAATACTCAGGGAATGGTGCCACAAAAAGAAATCTGCAATTATTCACGACATCTTTGAAAATAACAGAAGCTAGTTTACTATAACAAACTTATAAACAGATCTATAAATATATATCTATAGATGCACACAAATAAAGACACCTACATATTTTCCTACAGGTCTATAAATGTATACATCTAAATACTATCTATATAACTTTATACACGTATATTCACATTGATACACACAATGTGAATATACACACCTATATAGATCTTTCACAATACATTTTTGTTAAACATTTTTAAAAATAACCTACATGCCATATGCATGCTTAAATTTGAAATCTCTCATACTTTACTGAAACTGTCCATCTTGAAAGACCTCCCCAACCTGAGTTTGAACTGGCAGTCTCTCTATTCTATTTCCACTTCCACTCGGGCTCCAGTAAACCACTTCGAGAGTCTTTGCTGTATGCTTGTGTGATTCTGTAGATGGATAATTTCTTTTAAGTCCCCTGAAATAACAAGCAAAGGTAGAAATTGTATTAGTGTTTCATTTTAGCACAATGTAACATTCATGAGATTTGCATCTCCCCCTTCATGGGGCAAAAATGCTTGCAGAAATATGCCATAATCAAAAGGACTCTTGAGTCATCATTATTATGTACAGAAACTATATTCTTACTGTAAATTTAAATATATCCATCTATATAAATCAACTACTAGGTTCTATCGTGGTTTTGTGGTTATTTTAATATTGTTTGAAATGCAAACAATATTACCTTCAAATTTTTAAGTTCTTAACAACAGTGAAAGAATACTGTTCAAATAAAACCAAAAATTGAAGACTCAATTTTTAACCTAAAAACATTACTAAAAATAACAAACAAAAGCATAAAACAACCAAAATAAATTAACATATGTTTAAGAAAGAAAAGTGAAAAAAAAAAGTTACTCTGACAATAAAAAACTGATATTTACCATACAAAACATCAAAGAGACGCAGGTCCAAGAGCTTGTTTCCAATGTTGGCCAAAAAGGTTGAACTGGACTTCCAGTTCATGGGACATGAGGAATCGCACAGTTGGTTGTATTGTGTCATCTAAGGATGCTCCTCCAATTTCTGTAGCCATGGCAACCTTAAGTACAATGACAATAACAGGACAACATTTTGTTTTTGTTCATCAATTTGTCATTATATCACTCTTATGTGCTTAATTTTACTAACATATTAATCTACCTTTTTCAAATCATTATAAAGTGATCTTCACACGCTGATCCTCTTGAAGCCTGCAAAAATATATATTTTATTAGTGCAATATAACATTTAGACTTTTCAAAAAAATAAAAAAATTAAGGCAAAACAGCCTTTGTATAGATTAACTACTGAAGCCTTATATTGTAAACACTGAACAGTTTTGCAATTATCCTAATTTCTTTGTTAACGTGACAGGACTAAGACAGTAGTATTACTCTTAAGAGAAGTTTAGAAATCACTATAAATGTAACTAATAAAGCCTAAAACATTGTACATATAAAAAAATTAGAGCTACAATTAAATATAAGTACATTTCACATAACTGCTAGCTAAATATTGCAAAAATATCAAAAAGAATTTCTTCATCTTTCAATATTTGTTTCAGGCTTGGCCACTGATTGACATGATGGGTTTCAATTTACGGACCCACATGCAGTAACCACACGTTGGATAGGGATGAGTGAGTGATTTATTTACAACAGGACAAAATAAAATCTATTTCCCGGACATCAGCGGAAGGGTGAGGACCACTCGACCAGGTTGGCCTGAAACGAGAAACTTAGTTATGACGGGCTTAGAATGAGTGATCGGAGGGGAAACAGGAACAGGCTTACTTCGGTGCGGGTCTTTCGAGGCGTGGGTGTGAGATGCCAGGTTCCTGAGAGGGTGTGCAGCGGTTCCGAAGGTAAATGCGAGGTGGGAATGGAAGAGAGCTGGAACCTTGAAGGGTGGAGTGGAGGCAGTGGAATCGGCCGAGCGAACAGGCAGGTATTCACTGGTGAGTTCTCGAATGAGGCGACAAAACCCCTAGGATCGAAACAAACACAGAGACCAGGTGACTTCTAGTAGACACAGAAACGTTCTCAGAAAACTGTTCACAACAGGAGAGGCCAGAGTGACTACCGGTGTATGCAACCATCTAGCATACACCAGTAGAATCTTCAGTCAATCTAGCGTAGACTGAAGATTCTGCTGCTCCTCCACCTGTGCCAAGCTCCACGGGGTCCTCACAAAGATCCTCGCTGAAATAAGATGCGACACTCACATACACACACAGGAACCCTGACACTGATGACTACTCTAGACCAACACAATAGCGGCAGATTGAAAAACTCTGACATAACAAAACGCTTTAAAGTGTCACACAACAATTAAAAAAAGAATTTAAAAATATGAACTACAATGCCTTCATCCTATTTACAAAAACCTTTTAGGCCCAATATACTGAAACCACATGGGCCCCATATAGTGTTCCCATTTCTGTCCCATGCCCAGTTAGCCCACGTTAATGCTGAATTGGGCCCATACATTAACCCAATTGAGCCAACAATATGAGTCCCATTTCGGTTAACCTTTTGAGCCTCACGCAGTTGGCCCAGATAAAACCCATGCCCTCTTATCATACCTATATAGCCCAAAGCTAAACGATTCAATGCAGTTTTATTGAAAAAACGACAATAATAATCTTGCATCGGTCCCAGCCAAACCAGCCTGAATCCATACATGAGACCCACCCGTGCATGCTGATGTGACTGTGAGAAAGATTATTAAAAGCCCAAGTACATAGAATGAAAGCACAATAGTTACTCTTTTTAAATCATACAAATGGTTTTATTGTGTCCAGACACTTTGTAACAACCTCTGCTAGCAACATAGATTCTTCAGTGAACCGATTTCATTCTGCCTCGTTGGCGCTCAAATGAACCAATGGCAGCTCAACAAATAGAATGGCGGCGGTATTTGAAAATGGTTTGGCCCACAACGCTGCGTTTGAAATCGGTCTGCACTAAAATCTGCTTATTGTGTGTAGCTGTGTGTGTTAGCAATATCAGAAAAAGTATCACCCTAAAGAAAAGCAAAAATAACAATAACAATTAAGTCTCTTTTGGGATACTGTCGTCCGATTTGTTACGAGCAACAATTTTTTTAAAAAGCGATTTAAAATCTCTCCCTAAAATTTGGTACTAGGTAAAACAGAAGAAATGTACTTACAGATTTCGTAGATCAGCCAACAGGCAGACTCCGCGCCAACGGACTGATGAAGAGAACAGGCTTGATTTTGAAACCGCATATCCATCCGCGGGTCATTTTACGTTAAGAAACACAAGATTAATTTTTGAGAGTGCTACATCGGTTTAACAAATGTAAAACCGATGTAGCAAAAGTTCTCAATGTAAATAAATACATTTCGTTGTCCTCCTTATTCAAATATGTTTTGGAACTATTTTCTTCAGTGGATGTGTAAAGTGCCTACCGGTGCTTCAATTCAACCTTTATTGGCAACGGCCTCAGAGCAAACAATGAACAAAAAGGTAATTGGAACCAAATGAATCATTAACAGAAATGTTACGTTTTTATTATTTTTTTTTATTTATACTGATGACTTGGAAAATGTTTGCAAATATATGAAAAAACAGATGCTCAAAATTTTACTCTTGTCTCTCACTTGCTAATGAGTTTTGTTTATTTTCTAAACATTTGTGATACTTTTCACAATGGTCTGATCTGAACTATTTGTCCAAATAAAAATTTAAATCTTGCTGCGAACAGGCTGCAGTAAACTCTATGGATGTCTAAACATCCAATTGATAAAAAATAATAATAAAAATAAAATAAAAAAGTTATTATTATTAAAAATAAAACAAGGACTAAAGCTCAACCATGACCACTCTGTGCTTAATTTTGAGTAAGCACCAGAATATGAGTTTACGTATATATTTCAAACAGATTATTTCAAAAAAATGTTTTAAGACATTCAGATTGCAATAATAAAATGAAAAAAAAAGTTAGGGGTTCAAAGTGTAGCAAGAGCAATACTGAACTGGCTTGCTTTGACATACAGTGAAAAGTTTGAAAGTGACAGGGTAACCACATTGTCGATTAAAATGTTCTACAATTTGTCCCATTTAGACCATGAAAAAAAGTACTAGGGGCTACATTTTCCTGCCCAGGTCCAACCCATGTATGGTTAGCCCATGCTCATGTCATGTTAGTTTAATGTGGACAGCCCACATTGGGCTTCTCATGTGGGGCCCATGATACTGAAACCACATGGGCCCCAAATAGTGTTGCCCATTTCTGTCCCATTTCCAGTTAGCCCACATTGTTGCTGAATAGGGCCCATACATTTAGCCCAAATGGGCCAGCCCATAGGGGTCCCATTTTAGTTAACCATATGTATCCCATGAGGTTTGCCCAGATAAAACCCATGACCACTCATTACCCATATGGCCTACTACAAACCCAAGGGGGGCCCACTCATGCGTACTGGCTTGGAGACTGGACTGGACTGTTCTAGCATAAAATAATAACATGAAAAATGTTAAGGGTTCAAAGTGTGGCTAGAGCAATACTGAACTGGTTTAAAAAAATAAAGCATTGTAGAATTATTTTTAATGTTTTAATATCCTGGTCCTCTGGAAGCCTAGTGTTTGTAAATGAGCCAGGCATAGATATCACACAGTGAACATGTTTTAGGTTCAAACATTAGGAAGACATGGATGTTCTGTTCTATCAGCAAAATATATCCTTGGGTGATCTCCAAGACGAGGTCACCTTCGTCCTGGAGACCTCGACAATGGTCAAGGTCACCAACCTTTACTATCGTCGAGGTTTCCTACAAGGAAAAAATTAAATTCTACAATTTACCTTACATCAACTCCATTAGAGGCCAGCTTGCCTTGGCAAAGACTATAAAGCTGACATCTCGGGTAATTCTTTCCAAGTTTTGAGAATCTTGCTCTTGCAGCTTTTGCTTTGACATACAGTCAAAATTTTGAAAGTGACAGGTTAACTACAGGGGTTGGACAATGAAACTGAAACACCTGGTTTTAGACCACAATAACTTATTAGCGTGGTGTAGGGCCTCCTTTTGAGGCCAATACAGCATCAATTCGTCTTGGACAAGTATGGGGCCAAGGGAATGCCATGATATGGCAGCCCACACCATCAATGATCCACCCCCATGCTTCACTCTGGCATACAACACTCTGGCTGGAATGCATCTTTGGGGCTTCTCCACACCGTAACTCTCCCGGATGTGGGGAAAACAGTAAAGGTAGACTCATCAGAGAACAATACATGTTTCACATTGTCCACAGCACAAGATTTTCGCTCCTTGCACCATTGAAACCGACGTTTGGCATTGATACGAGTGACCAAAAGTTTGGCTATAGCAGCCCGGCTGTGTATATTGACCATGTGGAGCTCCCGACGGACAGTTTTGGTGGAAACAGGAGAGTTGAGGTGCACATTTAATTCTACCGTGATTTGGGCACCGTGGTTTTATGTTTTTGGGATACAATCCGGGTTAGCACCCAAACATCTCTTTGAGACAGCTTCGTCTTGCATCCACAGTTAATCCTGTTAGATGTGGTTCGTCATTCTTGGTGGTATGCTGACATTACCCTGGATACTGTGGCTCTTGATAATCACAAAGACTTGCTGTCTTGGTGAACAATTTGCCCTCTTTTGAACTCCAGTATGTCCCAAATAATGTTATGTGCATTGCAATATTTTGAGCAAAACTGTGCTCTTACCCTGCTAATTGGACCTTCACACTCTGCTCTTACTGTTGCAATGTGCAATTCATGAAGATTGGCCACCAGGCTAGTCCAATTCAGGCATGAAACCTCCCACACTAAAATGAGAGGTGTTTCAGTTTCATTGTCCAACCCCTGTACATTGTTCTACAATTTTGTCTCATTTAGCCCACTTAAAAAAGGACTGGGGTCTACATATCCACACCCAGGTCCAACCAGGGCGTGGATATGTACTGACCACACTGAACCCACAGTGGGTTCAGTGTGGTCAGCCCACATGGTCTCCCCATGTTGGGCCCATGACATGAGCCCATGCTCATGTCATGTGGGTTCAGTGTGGTCAGCCCACATGGTCTCCCCATGTTGGGCCCATGATACTGAAACCACATGGGCCCCACATAGTTTTGCCCAGTTCTATCCCATTCCCAGTTAGCCCAATTAAAAAAGGACTGGGGCCTACATATCCACACCCAGGTCTAACCCATATATGGTCAGCCCATGCTGATGTCATGTGGGTTTAATGTGGTCTGCCCACATGGGCTTCCCATGTTGGGCCCATGATACTGAAACCACATGGGCCCCACATACTGTTGCCCAGTACTATCCCATTCCCAGATAGCCCACTTAAAAAAGGACTGGGGCCTACATATCCACACCCAAGTCTAACCCATATATGGTCAGC